TAGACGGCAGAACGTTCTAGAGTTGCCATGAGTACGCGCGCAGATACATAAGGCCGCTACTACAGTCAGTTGCAAATAAGTCGCGAATCAGCAAGCTACAAGTTAAGTTGTCAAACAGAGATAAATTGTGTTAGCAAGTTTTGTAAAGCATTGCAATTACTTTAACGAGTATTGTAAAGTTTTTTTATTGCATTAGCGAGTATTGTAAATTGTTTGTTGTACACATATATTTAATACTTCTATATTGGCAGTAACCTATCTGCGCAATGTGTTTGGATTCAGCAATCAAAGGGAGATCGTTTGCGCATGCGCAGGTTTTCCATGTGTTAGTATATGTGAATATATGTGACAAATACATTCAAGCGAATTTGACGTGTCCTTGAAAATAAATTTGAAGCAGATTATTTTACTCTGGGGTAGTTACGCCGCTTTGTTGACGATGTTTGCTTAAAAAACTGAAACTTTATGATGAAGTATTACAATTTTATTTTAAATACCTGCAAATTAAAATACCGATTTGAAAATTTTTACAATGATTACCAATTTATTATTTTAGAATGTTTAACTCAAATGGGAATACATTTTCTACTGAGTAAGGATTTACTCACTATTCAAGTAAGAAGGAATAAATAACTATAGTATTAACTCACTCAAAATTTAAGTTATCTTTTTATAATATTCGCAATGTTCATTTGAAATTTTTTTCGCTAAGTTTTTTTATAAGAGTAGAGCTCATTATCTAACAAACACTTTGTAATACCAAATTCCAAACTTTCTGAAAAAATTAAAAAAGATCAAGAAAATTTTATTAGAATTCCAAGCTTTTTAGTTAAAATTTCTGCAAATTATCTGCGTACCAAAATACGCATGTAAAGCTATTTAATTTAATTAATCTCTTTTTTTCACATAAAAGGCGTCAGGTCGACATTTCTATAATTTAATTTATTATAAAATTAATGACGCATATTCATAGTCATATTTAGTATTCAACTAAGTCGAAACTATTCTAAGTCACAACTAAAGCTATTCATAGTCGCCTTAGTTTCGACTTTTCTGGCTAAGTACCAACCTAAAATTTAGTTTCGGCTGCAGTTGCAACTAAGTCGTAACTAGGAAGAAGTATTTTATCAAATTAAGGGAAAACAGACGAAATATGTAAAAATTAAGTTGGTAGAGGGTGATTTTGATAATATTGAATAATCTCCAATTAAAATTTACAAAGATCGATCCATTTTAATCGGAAGATGAAATTAAATGCGTATTACAATTCGAATAAAGCTACATCACAATTTTATAATTGGAATAATTTAGATAAATTTTCAAATAATAAGTCAGTTTCACGCTAGTTCTTTTAAAGTAAATTTGTGCATAACATTTAGATATCTACTATTTGCATATATGTAATACTTCTATATTGGCAGTAAGCTAACTTCTCAATGTGTAAGTATTCCGAAATCAAAGCGAGACAGTCTAGTACTGTTTTTATCAATGTATTGTGCACTTGAGTGCCGTTTTTGTTTATGTGTTGTGTACATGTTTATTTATAAAAGTTTGTGTTCCTTTTCTTTCGTACGTGTTTATTGATATATCTGTACTGTAGTGTTTTCGGACGGTACTAGCTCTTACTGCCAATATAGGAGTATTACATATATGACTATTTGTATGTTTCACAGAAAGCTTTCGATAAACATCGACTTCACATCACTGCGGTTGTTCTGGCTATTTCACACAATTAACAAGAAAATGATACCTTATTCTTTTGCATAATCATGCAATGAAAATAAAAATTACATAAACGGATGATCAAACTTGACATTATTTAATAAAAATGTAATTTTTCCAAAACATCGTAAAGAAAAATCGATAAATTTTCACACTTGTTTTGATATATCGTAAACTAAGTCGAAACTACTAAGTAGAAGTCTGAAATGCGACTATGAATAGAAGTAAATTTTTAGTTGGTACTTAAATTTAAGTTGCAACTTTGTTAGTTTCGACTTAGTTGCTGGACTATGAATACGCGCCATTGAAATAAACCACCGACAAAATACACATTAAGAAAAAAGCAAAACAGAAATAGCAAATTTCAAAACTACGACCGTCACACACTTTTTTCTCAATTGCTATTACAAATGGATGCTTCTCAACCGGTCAGATCTGTTCAAATTGGTTCATGTATTACATATATGGTTGTACAAGTTTATTTAACAATCCAGCGATATGAACCGAGATGATTTTGCTAAATCCGTTACCGGCCGTCTTCACATGCTTAAAAATCTCGCTTGCGTTCTGCTTTTTTCTCTCACAGTGCCAGTGTCAATTGATAGAAAAGAGGAAATTTTGACGGATCAAAGTACAAATTTGACATTTCTCGTGGGGAAAACAAACGTCAGAATTTTACCTAGCTCCTGAGGCTAGGTAAAATTTTGACAGCTTATAAACATGTATACACATATTATTGCTTGGCGGTAATAAAGAGGGAACATGAAAATGAAAGCCGGAAAAGCACAAAAGAAGCATACGTTACTTGCAAGTTATAAAATAAATATAATTTTTAACAATTTCAGCAACACACAAATAAAGCCTTCGCACGGGCGTTTGTTGGGATTTTCAACTGCCAAAATTTTACTTTGCATTTGGCACAGCAAAATTCG